ACCCTATGCCCCTGTTACCTAGCAGTAAAATAAGTACCTGGGTGTTAGTCAGCTGTCACGGGCTGCTTCCTGGGGGTGGAGGCCTGGTCGAGGACCGGACCGCTGGGACACTAAAAAAGCCCCGAAATCATCTCAAGATAACACCTAAGTAGTTGGTCAGCACATCAGGGCGTCAGCTTCCCATGATGTGCAAAAAAGCACTCCAGATGTACCATTAGGTTGTTTGTCAAGACCATCAGGAGTATTCATAAACAGGAACAAGCTGTCTAGGGAGGAGCCAGAAAATATTTCAATTAACTCTAGCTGAATCTGAGGTCACAGGCTGACCTTACCAGGCTGTTCCCACGGTGAGTCATGGGTGTACTCTCCAGGCGTTACACCTTATAAATTCCTCTGAGAACCTTGTATGTGGTGATCATGTCTAGCTCTTCTGTCTTCCAGCTGTGACACCGTAAAGGTGTTTTGTTGTGTTTTATTTAATATTTTACATACAACATGAGTTAGCCAGGCAAGGCATTTGAGAGGCGCCAGGCTGTCGGCCTGGAGTAATGAAATAACTCTCACCTCTAGAGTGTTAAGCGACGACAAAGTGACCAGTGGTCAGGTCGTGTGACTTGACCTTGCTTCTGCTAAGCTGATAATTGCAGCCAGGGAGCCGGGTGTGTCCTTCAAACAAGCCGCTGTGTAAGGCATGGTAGATAGATAGCCTGAGGCTACCTACTTAGTAGGAGGAGCTAGCTCCAAGTATTCCCCATCAATACTCAGGGAACTGGACATTCGAGAGGACAGCATAGGATCAGCAGACAGCAGCCGAGACAGACTGTCGGCCGGACAGGGGGACTGTTAACTGTAGACACCCCCCCCCCCTCTCTGTTCTACTTAGGCTCGGTCCTTGGTGAGTTGAACGTTAAGGTGACTTATTTCGTGTTTTCCAAACTTAAGGTGTTGTGTGATTATCAGAGGTAGACAGCCGTAGTGTCCTCAAGGTCTTGTGTGGTGGCTCACATTGTATTCTGGACATAGCGAACATTACGTTAAATTGCTTGAATTATGATACATATGTTAAATATATATTTAATTAACTTGTTTAAATTGTCTTTGTGTTCCCTAGTTCTTGGATTTTATGATATATTGCAAAGTAGAGTGTAGAGCACTCTGAGTTAACTGTGTTAAAGAGTATAAGTCCTTCTTACAGCAGATAATATATGATACAAAATACATTTGATAACAGCCTAGAGTACAGACAAGTTCCATACCTCGTCTTGGATGTACTGAACTAGAATGGATGGTGGCAGCTCTTTCTACTTCTACCTGTCTACCTTTCTACCCTCTACTTTTACTCATCTCCGTGTTCTCAGTCTCTCCCTCCGCTTCTTGTCAAACTTTCCCTTTCACCCGACCACTCCTGGCTACCCCTTTCCCCCTGACTCCATTCCTTACTCCCCCACCTCCCTCCCTCCTGCTATACCTCCCTCCCTCCTGCTATACCTCCCTCCCTCCCTCCTGCTATACCTCCCTCCCTCCCTCCTGCTATACCTCCCTCCCTCCCTCCTGCTATACCTCCCTCCCTCCCTCCTGCTATACCTCCCTCCCTCCCTCCTGCTATACCTCCCTCCCTCCTCCTGCTATACCTCCCTCCCTCCCTCCTGCTATACCTCCCTCCCTCCCTCCTGCTATACCTCCCTCACCCCAAACACTCACACATTTGTCATTATTCATTTTTTTCGGTTCCCTTAGACGTTCGTGGCAGTGAAATGTTCAAGAGTTCTCTAGAGTCGCTGATCAGGTACAATGCCTTGTGGGTATAGCACCTAGGTGCTATGGGATTCGGCGGCTAAGCGAACAGAACACTGGACGCGTGATCCTGTGGTCCCGGATTCGATCCCGGGCGCCGGCGAGAAACAATGGATAGAGTTTTTCACCCGGATGCTCCTGTAACCCAGCAGTAAATAGGTACCTGGGAGTTAGTCAGCTGTCACGGGCTGCTTCCTGGGGGTGGAGGCCTGGTCGAGGACCGGGCCGCGGGGACACTAAAAACAAAAAGCCCCGAAATCATCTCCAAGATAACCTGAAGATAGGTAATCAAATAGCGAGGTGACAAGGTGTTGAACTAGTGAGGTTGCAGTAGGAACTCTGGGGGGGGGAACTCTGGGGGAACTCTGGGGGAACTCTGGGGGAACTCTAGAAATGGTTAACTAAGGGCGGGATAATGGACTAAGAGCCGTTCCATCTTCCTCCATTACACAGTGACGTGAGGTTTAATTCCCTTAGTCTCTCCTCATAGCTCATACCCTTCAGTTCAGGCACTAGTCTGGTGGCAAACCTCTGAACCTTCTCCAGTTTAGTCTAATGCTTGACGAGATATGAACTCCATGCTGGAGCTGCATACTCCAGGATTGGTCTGACATTCGTGGGATACTAGGATCTGAATGATTCCTCACACAAGTTTCTTATTTTGACCAACCTGGCATATGCTGCTGATGTTATCCTTTTGATATGGGCTTCAAGGGACAGATCTGGTGTGATATCAACCCCCAGGTCTTTCTCTGATTCTAGAAGAATTTCATCTCCCAAATGGTATCTTGCATCTGGCTTTCTGCTCCTTACACTTATCTTCATTACATTACATTTGTTCGGGTTAAACTCTAACAACCATTTGTTGGACCATTCCTTCAGTTTGTCTAAGTCTTCTTGAAGCCTCATGCTGTCCTCTGTCTTAATCCTTCCCATAATTTGAGCATCGTCAGCAAAGATTGAGAGGAATGAGTCTATACCCTCTGGGAGATCATTTACATATATCAGAAACAGGATAGGTCCAAGTACAGAGCCCTGTGGGACTACACTGGTGACTTCACGCCAATCTGAGGTCTCACCCCTCACAGTAACTCTCTGCTTCCTAATGCTTAGGTATTCCCTTAGCCACTGGAGCACCCTACCAGTTACTCTTTCCTGTTTCTCCAGCTGATGTACTAGCCTTTAATGGGGTACTGTGTCAAAGGCTTTCAGACAGTCCAAGAAAATATAGTCTGCCCACCCTTCTTGCTTAATCTTTGTCACCTGGTCATTCTATTAAGCCAGTAAGGCAAGATTTACCCTCCCTGAACCCATGCTGATGGGTTGTCACGAAGTCTCTTCTCTCCAGATGTGTTTCTAGGTTTTTTCTCGCGATCTTCTCCATCACCTTGCATGGTATTCAAGTTAAGGACACTGGCCTGTAGTTCAGTGCTTCTTCTCTGTCACCCTTTTTGTATATTGGTATTACATTAGCCGTCTTCCATATTTCTGGTGGGTCTCCAGTGACCTACTATACAACATGTAGAGTGGCAAGCAAAGAACTTCTGCACACTCCGCACCCATTGTGAGATTCTGTTCTGACTAACAGCCTTTCTCACGTCCAGATTCAACAGATTTCTTCTTCTGGTAATCTCGAACACCTCCAAGGCTGCCTGGTTTACTGCCACCTCTTCTAGCTCAGGGACTTCACCTCGTTTTATTGAGAAGACCTCCTGGAATTTCTTGTTGAAATCTTCACATATCTCTCTTTCTCTGTGTACCTGTCCTCACCCGTTCTAAGTTTCATCACCTGTTCTTTCACTGTTGTTTTCCTCCTGATGTGGCTGTGGAGCCGTTTTGGTTCGGTCTTGGCTTTATTTGCTATATAATTTTCATACTGTGTCTGCTTCTCTTCTCACACTAACATACTCATTCCTGGTTCTCTGGTATATACTGTATCTCTGCTTTCTGTTATTTCGGAAGTTCCTCCACGCCCTTTAGGTCAGCTCCTTTGCTTTCATACATGTCCTATTAAACCACGGATTATTCTTTTGCTTCTCGGTGTTTTCCTTTTGGGCCGGGATAAACCTCTATACTGCCTCCTGACACTTTTGGGTGACAGTCCATGTCGTGTACAGTCTTAGTTCAGAGTTCTGTGTCCCATGGTATATCATTTAGGAATTTTCTCATCTCATAATTTCCCTTTCGATATGCCAGACCTTTGTTTTCTAGTTCTTTTTTTTATGGAGATTAATGCTAGCTCTACCAAATATTCAAATATCAATACACTGTGATCACTTATTTCCAAGGGGGGGCTTCCAACTTGGCTTCCCTTATATCCGACTCATTTAGGGTAAATATTAGATCAAGCAAAGCTGGTTCATCCTCTCCTCTCATTCTTGTCGGTCCCTTGATGTGTCGACTTAGAAAGTTTCTTGTTGCCACGTCCAGCAGCTTGGCTCTCCACGTGTCTGGTCCTCTGTGTGGGTGTTGGTGCTTTCAATCTATCTCCCAATGTGTGTGTGCGTGTGTGTGTGTGTGTGTGTGTGATCTATAGTAGCTGTGTTAGAGGAAATAGGTTGGTTGTCATCACATTAGAAAACTAAAGGGTGGAAATGCGGGGTCTAAGACATAAGAGCTTGATCTTGCAGGCACAAATAGGTGAATACATACTTACCCAAACCGCAGAATCCGCAGACGAAAGTAAGAGCCTGCAGACATGCTCAAAATACAACTGACAGCAGCATGGTAAAAAGAAAACAATAAAAACTCCCAATCATAGGTGACTTCAACCATGCAGAAACTGACTGGGATACACAAGCTAGCGGCAGTTACTAACATAAATTTCTTAACCCCAAATATTGATGAGGCCACAAGGAGATAAGGGCGGGAGATGTTCCAGCCAAACTCAAATCAGAGAGAACATTGAAATGGCTGAATATACAAGTGTCCACGAGGGACAGGCGGACACAGCCTCCCAGTCCGCGACAACCCTGCGGCCACGAAGCCCATTATAAAGAAAAAGGACGAAGGTACAATAACCCAGCATTCAGCTGCGGAAATAATTAAAAAGGTTTGAGATGTCCAATGGCACAGTAACTGTGATAGAGAATTAAAGAGAGAGAGAAAAAAGCAAGCAGGAACACAGCGGGAAGCCGAGGAGAGAGATGTACACTGATCCTCAATACCAAGGGACTAAATTAACCAAGACTTCAGCTCTGGGATCGATGTTGGGTGTCTGGCGACCAGCACAGGCGACCAGCACAGGCGACCAGCACAGGCGACCAGCACAGGCGACCAGCACAGGCGACCAGCACAGGCGACCAGCACGGGCGACCAGCACGGGCGACCAGCACGGGCGACCAGCACGGGCGACCAGCACGGGCGACCAGCACGGGCGACCAGCACGGGCGACCAGCACGGGCGACCAGCACGGGCGACCAGCACGGGCGACCAGCACTGGCGACCAGCACAGGCGACCAGCACAGGCGACCAGCACAGGCGACCAGCACAGGCGACCAGCACAGGCGACCAGCACAGGCGACCACTACAACACGGACACTGCCACAGAAATGATCTTCTCCAAACCTTTATCAATAAGCATTGAATTACATCACCAGATAATAGAACTCGATAATTAATGAAGTGTGTTTTTTTTTTTTAAAGAGAAGACCGGGGTAAATACTGGTTAGGAGACGGGGTGGTTAATTTATTTAAGAAGCAACCGGGTTATATAATATACGTGGGATTGTTTCAAGCGTAACCGAGAGAGTTATATGAGCGAACAATTCCTCAAAAGGGCAGATAGGCCTTCTACAATCTCATTGTTGTGTTCGAATGTTCGAACACAAGAGAAACATGATAAGATAGGAGTGCTTGCGGCAGTGTAGGCCGTGTAGGCCGCCGGGCACATTTGAACACGACTCTATATTAAATGTAAACAAAGCCGCGATCTGTAAGGAAGGATGCAGAGGTTTCGTAAGTGGTTGTGTCAATGCTTGATGAGTCGTGTCCTTGTACAGTGTGACGACAGTTCAGCGACAACAGTGTAACACCATCCAAAACTGCCGCCAAGTTATATCTGTAAGAACCTGTTGGTGAATGACCAAACGTTTACACTAAATAAGAGAGGGGTCGTGGTGTGTATGGGGGGGGGGGGTGGTGGTGTGTGTGTGTGTATGGGGGGGGGGGTCGTGGTGTGTGTGTGTGTGTGGGGGGGTCGTAGTTAGTGTGTGTGTGGGGGGGGGGGGGTCGTGGTGTGTGTGTGTGGGGGGGGGGTCGTGGTGTGTGTGTGGGGGGGGGGGGGTCGTGGTGTGTGTGTGGGGGGGGGGGTCGTGGTGTGTGTGTATGGGGGGGGTCGTGGTTAGTGTGTGTGGGGGGGGGGTCGTAGTTAGTGTGTGTGTGTGGGGGGGGGGGGGGGGTCGTGGTGTGTGTGTGGGGGGGGGTCGTGGTGTGTGTGTGGGGGGGGGGTTGTGGTTAGTGTGTGTGTGGGGGGGGGGGGTCGTGGTTAGTGTGTGGGGGGGGGGAGGGGTCGTGGTTAGTGTGTGGGGGGGGGTCGTAGTTAGTGTGTGTATAGGGGCGTCGTGGTTAGTGTGTGTGTGTGTGTGGGGGGGGGGTCGGGTCGTGTGTGTGTGTGTGTGGGGGGGGGGAGTCGTGGTTAGTGTGTGTGGGGGGGCGTCGTGGTTAGTGTGTGTGGGGGGGCGTCGTGGTTAGTGTGTGTGGGGGGGGGGGGTCGTGGTTAGTGTGTGTGTGTGTGGGGGGGGCGTGGTCAGTGTGTGTGTGTGTGGGGGGGTCGTGGTCAGTGTGTGTGTGTGTGGGGGGGGTCGTGGTCAGTGTGTGTGTGTGGGGGGGAGGGGTCGTTGTGTGGGGGGGGGAGGGGTCGTGGTTAGTGTGTGTGTGGGGGGGGAGGGGTCGTGGTTAGTGTGTGTGTGGGGGGGGGGGTCGTGGTCAGTGTGTGTGTGGGAGGGGTCGTGGTCAGTGTGTGTGTGGGGGGGTCGTGGTCAGTGTGTGTGTGGGGGGGGGGTCGTGGTCAGTGTGTGTGTGTGGGGGGGGGGTCGTGGTCAGTGTGTGTGGGGGGGGGGAGGGGTCGTGGTCAGTGTGTGTGGGGGGGGGAGGGGTCGTGGAAAGTGTGTAAAGGTCGTAGTGTGGTCGTGGTGGTCAGTGAGGGTCGACAGGTGGCAGCCTGGAAGGCAGCAATGTAGGGAAAGGAAGGCCTGTTCCCTCTTACCCCTCCCCACCCCCCCCTCCCCTTCACCCTCCACCCCCCCTCCCCTTCACCCTCCACCTCCCAGCTGGGTGTATGGTATCTGGGCCGCCTCCCCCCCCCCTTTGTCCCACTTTGCATACATACACCCTCTTCTCACCTTCTTCTTCTCTCTCTCTCTCTCTCTTTTTCTCTCCCACATTCTGGGGAACCTCACTAGGACAAGAGCAAAAGCCAGCTAACATGTATTTAATATACAAAGAAAACATACATAATGTTCTATTTTATATGTAAAGTATTATCATACAACACTCTAAACTGCCACAACCCGGTAGCATTCCAATATCATATCCTGGCTTCACCAACTGTCCATATCAAGTGGCTGCATAACTCTTGGCTTACCACTTATTACACCCTCACTAAATGGGGCTGAAATCCTGTCACAACAATACTGTATCATCAACCCTAAAGTATATGAAACTCAGCTCGGGGCTGAAACACCAGAAACATCTACATAAGTTTCACCCACCAAAAGAAGAAATCAATCTCTCACTTTACACTGTTTTACATGCCAATAAGCATTCCCCTTATACTCTTATATATCTCTAGGGTCTCCAAAATATCAGAAAAGGCACTTCTGCAGTTCACCCAATCTGCTGCACAACGAAGCCCTAATCCAACATCAGTGACGCTTCACCACTGATTCCACAGAGACACGTGTAGCTCCTCTACACTGCCTGAAGTTAACATCCTCACTATGGAGTTCAGCATACACTTCTTCCCAGCCTCTAAGTTTCTCCAACTTCTTCTCTAACCTCGAAGTTTCTCCATGAACTCCTTCCCAAACAAACCTACAATGCAATTACCATGCCAATAAAAAAATTTCATAACAAAACATAATTAAATGTATTCACAGAAAATAAACTCCATCCGACATCCTTATGCCGGCACCATGGCTCCGCCGATGTGGGTCCTCCCCCATCCTGGGCAGGTCCACTTGGGAACATGTCCTGACACATCGCTGGGGGGGGGGGCTTCCCCCTTCAGTCATCCACTGACCTCCATCGAAGGTGGATGTATCACCAATCCCTTTAGCATGTCCTCCCAACTTCTGCTACTTATTTTAGCTCACTTAATGTAATATCTATTCTTCATATACAAATGTTCACTATGATCGCTGGGCACACGATCACACTTCTGGCTAAATTAACTGATTAAACAGGCTTACCTCCAAAATCTGACGTGAGGATGCTCACTCACTGGAGCTCAAACATGGTGCTCACATAGGCCGCCCACAAAAATGATTCAGGACTGCTTCACAAAGCTTCTTCCAGTCCATGACTTGAGCTCATAACGTCGTCTGGCAGGCTCCACAACAGAAATGCCTGCTTGCTTCATTCCTCTTGAAGGCACAACAATTAGTTTCACTAATGCGCGACCAACACTCACTTGCAAGTCGCCTCTAATTTACCAAAATCACAGAGAAATGGTGTAAATAAATGCTGAAATAAGTTGGATCAAATCTACACTGATGGGGTCATCTAACCCTGTCAAAGCAGGGCTGATGCAGCATACACTGTAATTAGGAATAATGCCTTGCAACGCGGAAATGAAGGAAAAGCCCTTATTGAGAACTATGCCTCTTCAACACAAGCAGAGCTAACTGCCATTGTTACGGCGTTAAGATTCCTTGAACGTAGCATTAACGGTGCAGTGATCTGCACTGATTTTAAAAAGCAGCACTACAAAGCCTTACTAAAAATCGGGTAGAAAATCTTGCGATAGTCGCTGAGATGAAGAGAGCTGTGAAAGTACTAACCAATCAGGGAAGAATCGTCAAATTTCTGTGGATCCCCTCCCAGGTTGGAATCTGTGGAAATGAACGAGCAGACATTAGAAATATGTGTAGAATAATAAACCCCACATTGTTTGAGGAAAACACTTTGTTAAATATAGATACTGTTCTTAAAAGATTCCCCCATTTTGCACCCGCAAGAAAACGTAAGATTTTAAAGGTTAACGAATGATAATCTTGTCTGATAAGCTGTTCATTTGAGACAGTTAAGCAAGTCCCAGCTGTGTCTGGGTGTAAGTGACAGGATGAACAACCCAGCGGGTTTTCTTCCTATTGGGGAGTATTGTACATGCTGCTATGGCGGTGTGTCCACTCACAAGATGAGTGACGCTGCCCAGTACTGTCACTATGGCGGTGTGTCCACTCACAGGATGAGTGGCGCTGCCCAATACTGTCACTATGGCGGTGTGTCCACTCACAGGATGAGTGGCGCTGCCCAATAAACTCGCCCCTCGGGGCAAAATTAAAAAAAAATTAATGCGAGAACATTTAGGTGGTTTCACATGATCTTAATTTTCCAGGTGAAACAAAATTCTGCACATTATTATCTTTTTTTATATCTAATACATGTCAATGCTTGGATCAACATTCAAGCTTTTAAGTCTTATGTGTAGTGAGATAAAGCTGAAACGTTCAGGCTTAAAAAAAATAACGCGGGCGACGCTGTAAAGTCTAAAGCTGGTGACAACGGCGGTGACAACGGTGGTGGCAACGGTAAGTATCAGTGGTAAACACGTTCTCGTAACCCGTTCGTAAACAGGAGGTTGGGCGGCTGAGTTAACGAGCAATTGGTCATTGTTTTGATGATAGGCTGCGTTCGTGCGGCGGACCCGGTTGGGAAGCCTAAGCCAAGGTTGGTTGAGTGTTCGGGCTGATAGCCCTCATCACTCTCAGGGAGGGTGATGAAGTATATACTGTATACTTCAAGGTATAAAGTATATACTGTATGCATTCTGCATATATACTGCACTAGCTTGCTCACCACACAGCAGGTGTACCTCAGCCCTGAACATACTCCAGGATTTAAGTCAACGCTCAGTGTATATACACAGTGGAATACACCTGTGTGTGTGTGTGTGTGTACTCGCCTAATTGTGCTTGCGGGGGTTGAGCTCTGGCTCTTTGGTCCCGCCTCTCAACCGTCAATCAACAAATGTACAGGTTCCTAAGCCTACTGGGCTCTATCATGTCTACATCTACGTGTGTGTGTGTGTGTGTGTGTGTGTGTATATATATATATATATAAAATCTATCCATCCCTTACAGCGTTACTAATGCACTTCCAGTGCAGTTGCGCCCTTTCCTGCAGGGCGTGTGCAGGGCGGGGGGGGGGGAGAGATACGCTGTGCCCACATCTTTCATTAAGCGCTCCGTGTTCCACTCGACACCACAACCTGAAAACTAAGAAAGAAACCCCCATATTTTTTTTTGCAGTGTGAACTGCCAGTTGGTTGACACGCGTCCCACCACAGTACAAAAAAAACACCCTGTGATTGGTCGAACCGCTCACTCCGCCTGTGCTGAGCACACATTTAATTGGATGCCTACATGACATCAGTGCTCAAATGCTCAGCACTAGGGAC